CCAATGTCCTGGTCTCAGGAACGCTGGGTGTGGCCCGGCTGGAGACGCCAATGTCCTGGTCTCAGGAACGCTGGGTGTGGCCCGGCTGGAGACGCGTCCCTCGGGGCGGTCAGGAAGCTTCTGCCTTCTGGGCCCTTCTGCAGCCAACGCCTGAGGCAGCGAGGCCAGCCCTTCCCAGAGAGCCAGCTCTCAGGCAGAGGATCAGCTGCCACACACCGTGGGACTCAGAGGCGCCGGAGAGCTCCCCTTTCCGGAGTATGTCCCCTCCGGCCTGAAGTTCTGTCTAACCCACATGGGTTAAAATCCTGAAGGCCCCGCCAGCGTGCAGGTATGTGGTCCCAAAGGGGCAACATCTTGGACCAGCTGCGCTCAGAGAGCTGCTCTAAGTAGAAGTGAGCTGGGCACCGGCGCCATGGACCGGGACACAGAAGGAATGGCATATTTGGATTCAGTCTGAATCGAGAAGAAAGGTATCCAGATGGGCATGGGAGTTATTTTAACTTGATGCATTTAACCCACTATTTATTTGGCTCTGAAACGGGTTCTGTGGAAAGACAGTTTCTGCTGCTACCCAGAGGACCCAATTAGTCGTAGTGCTGGGAGACTCAAACACGTGTTAATAGCAGCGCTGTGTAGAGGGTGGTTGAAGATGAGTGCCTGGCATCTGGGTGAAGTATTCGTGGACGTGCAGGATTCCAATGGCAGGAGTGAGGTGTGTGTGCACGGGTGGGTGGGTGCGTGTGTGTGAGTAAGGGGAGGGCGTATCTCCAGAGGAGGCAGTGGCCTAAGACAGTTCAGCTGAACTGAATGAAGGATCCTTACAAGAGGCAGTTAGGCTTGGGGCTTGAGGAACTCCCACATGCCAGATTCAGAAGTCTGCACGTCTAGGGGAGCAGCTGGGGTTTCTGACCGGGAGACTGACATGTGCTTTGAAAAGCGGATCTGGTGGTGTAAGGTTGGAGACGGCCTGGCGATGGCAGCACGGAGGACAGTCATGAGGCCCTTACAGCTGTCCAGTGTGGTGAAAGCTTTGCCCCGGCAAGTGGCCTTTGGAGAAGCAATGCTCTCAGGTAGTCCTAAGCGCCTGCCATATGCAGAGTTTACGCTGGTAACTCTAATTGTAGCAATCAGCCAGTCAGGTGAAGGTGATTCCCACTGTTCGTTCTTCCCACTCAGTCTGCATTGAGTGCTTCTTCGATCCACTTGTGGGACAGACGCAGCCTTCACTCTCAGAGGGCCGACCTTCTCTTGTATTTTGTGTGGCTCTTTTCAGAGAGGAGAAAACTGAGAGAGAAAGCCAGCAACTTGCTCAAAGCTCACCAGCTAGTAATTGATGGAGTGTGGATTCAAATGTGTGTCTTGCTGGCTGGAAATGGCCTAAAAACACTCCCTGATATTTCCTGATCATTTCCTGGGCAAGGTGATAAGTGGGTTATTATTTACGTGCTATCATTTGATCACCATAACAACTTTAATGAAGGAGGTATTAATTATAACCC